CTCCAAATACGGAGAATAGTCGGTGAAATACCTTGCCCCTGATCGGTGGAAGGAGTCATCATAGGGATCCTTTGCTGCGGAGTGACCAAACAAGAGACTGCAAGTCGATTGATCCAAGACTCCGCCATCTCAGGACCGACCTCTTCCAGCAATTCTTGAAGACTGTCACTGTCATGAAGGCCTGCTGAATCAGTGGGCTCCTTGCAGGGGAAGGGTTTCCTTTTACAATCTCGATCCAGACGCTTCACCACAGCATTAAAAAAAACTTGTTGACACACCTGCTGATACACTTCAGGAAGAACAGGCTGGGCCATGCCATCTATAGAATCACTCCTGAGTATATGAACTTGTGGTCAACCTAACCTGTGTTAAACCAGCAATGCACTGCCCAATGTTGCCAAGATTCTTGCCCTCAATGACCGAGAAGAAAGCCAATTCATGTGATTCCTCGCTTTCGCACTTTTCAGACCCTTCAGAATTCCAGCCGTCCTTACAGGAGGGAGGGAAGACGCATTCAGCCAGTTTGGGAAAACAACTCCAGAATGTAAAGTGACAAATCAGTCCTGCTTGCGAGGCCGACCACCCTTCTTCCTTGTTGAAGCTTTCTTCTCGTTTTTGGACTTTGGAGTTTTGGTAGAAGGCTTTTTGAGTGCAGCCAGCGCTGATGCCTCTGCATCAATGGAATCCCCATCAGGTTCATCTTCGTCATCATCACCAGGTCCCATTAATGGCACATGGTTAGAATCCTCCTCCTCCTCCTCCTTGTTTCCCTTTTTCTTTTGAGTGCTCTTAGCCTGTCCTTTGGGTTTCCTTGGTTTCTTCTTGGGTTGTTGGTCACCAGATGATTCAGAATCACGCACCCGTGGCGGCAATGTGTGGATAGCAGAACCTCCAGGGGAGAACAAACATGGCTCCATCTAGTGAACTAACAATTTGATATTGGCTGACTATAGTAATATCCCACAACAAAGACCTGATGATCCAGCTGCCGACGAAGATTGGTGTCCAGGCGTTGGATCTATCTTCGCAGCCGCCGCTGACCCAGGAGGCACCGGTATGGGCCTTCGAGGTGGTGTAACTCCATCATGTCCAGCAAGAAGCGCTTCCAAATTGAACTCCTCAGATGCAATGAGTTTGGACAGTTCACGCAAAAAGAAAGTAGTTAAAGGCTTGCATACAAACGTTCCTTCCCGCAACATGTTGGCTAGGTGCAGGTGCACGCATCACGGTAGTAAGAGGAACCTCCTCCACATCACTATCCAATGCATCTCGGGGCATGTTTGCCAAGATGCAACCAACCCCACAGCCCACAGCCACTTAAAGTGCTGCAGTGTCATCAAGCACAAGTATTTAAGCTGATAGTTTAGGTCAGACAAGCGATTGCCGGACATAAGCTAACTTTGTTCAATGCAGTTTCATGCAATTTCACTTTGTAGTGGTCACGTCCATTTGCTGCACTTGCGAGCGAGGTACACTTCACGCGCGGGCACCCAAGCACGGATGGGTGGTGGTGCGCAAACTCGGATCCCCCGAATCAGCACTCTTCGAGTGCACCCTAAATATAGTGACAAAATCAGGCCTGCTGTGAGGCAACCTTTTTTCCATACTGAGGCAACCAATCAAACAAACATACAATCATAAGCGAACTAATTATAAGACCGGACATCGTTGAACTGTTTAGTAAACAATGGTGGACTTGGCCTTGGGAAGGATCATTATTCTAATCACAACAGTCGGACGGTTGCCTCCGAAATGTCCAGTGGCTTTCGGGTGCATACACATGGCCTGATCGGAGTCACAACCTTCTCTCCATCCGCTTTGCTGCAATCAAGCCTTGGGCACTAAACACAGGTTTCACAATTCAATTCAACTGAGTTTAGTGAGGATTCATTCTTTACAGTAGTGGGCTTTCCGGTGAAGCGGAACTGCAAGAACTCTCCCAATCTCTCACATATAACACTAGTCAGTCAGACATATGGGGAGGGAGGTTTTGCGGTCTAAAGAAGGATCAGGGCTTTTTTCTCCAAACTCCAGTCCAGGTCCAGGTATGTTGAGTGGTAAATAAATGTTCTAGTTTGCTCTTTTCATAACTGACATATCTTTATGACATCAATTGCCGAAAATAAATATATCATGATTTAATCTTAGAAGCCTGCAGCGCCAAGCAATTGTCAAAACATCGTTCTCGGCTTTCAATTTGGAGATGCAAACATGAGCTCCAAAGTTCTTCTGTGTGAGCGTCTTTTTGCGCTTTTTGGTTGGCACCTCCCCCAAGGCATCCAAGACAAATACCAAGCTCTTCACATTTTTGAGGCCATTGTCTGTGAGCTCATGGTGCGAGATCGCCACTTTGACCTGATTGTTCTCCGGCTACGTCCGATATTCCAAGGTCTTCGTTTTGGAATGGCTGACGACTTAGAAAGCAAACTCTATGAAGGCGTGGCCAATGTTGGTTGATTGTGCTGGGTGGGGGGGATGTGGGCGTTGAAAGTGATGTATCAGACTAAATCTTGCGAGGCACTTCCCCCCTGATCTGCAAGGTCGGTCAACAGGCTTTGCAGAGTCACAGCTTTCTCGAGGTTGTCGAGCTTAGATAGATGTGTTGGTACAGAGCCCTTCTCTAGGATCACCAGGTCAGTTTGACTGATATTGAAGCTGAACCAGCGGCCCTCTGGGTCCTCCATCACCTCATTTGCGTCCTTAGAGTTCTGAGATGTCTAACCCCAGACTAAAGTGAGACAGGCAAATGGTCTTGCAAAACGAGACACTGCTGCATCTCGCCACTCACCGGCTCCAAATGAGAATCTAGGTTGTGCCAAGTTTTGGGTGGAGGCAGGAAAGGTAATATAAGAAGTCCCACGTGAAAAACAAACATCAACATATATACATTTGACATCATTACAGTACATGAACCCATTCTCACAGCCAAGGCACAGTTCTCGTTTGTCGAGAAACTGGGTTGTCCCCTTGCTGGTGATTACCAATTCCTCACCCCTTTGGCCGCCGACGATCAAGTCGCATGAACCACTAATTTGGAGTTTCTTCCTTAGTTGTTGAGCCCCAGAGCCGATGAAAGGATGGCACCATGTTTTGCTTGGTAAGAAACTTTGCAAATTGAAGGGATGTTCACCCCACGAAAGAATTCCAATTAGAAGAAGCAACCCCTTGGTGAAGCAGGAGAGAACAACCCCTTAAAAACACAACTGGCCCCTCATTGTTTCTTTAAATTGTCATGAAAAGTTCATACCAGAAAAGAGCAAGCAACACGTTCTCCAACGTCGATACATGCTGTTCTGTGCAGCTTTCCAGCTTCACAGGCTTCATCGTCTCCATTTTGACCTTGGTTTCATCACCTTCTTCTGTCCTGTGCAGGCGGGATACCCCGCTGCCGAAAGGAAGGGGTTGGATCGGATACAAGTCTTTTTAAACACACAGGAGTCCTAGTCTTCTCAGCCAAAACGAAGTCCCCGCCCACGTTGAACTCTTCATTGTGAAGCTGAATTGCTTCCTGTGCCCGATCCTTTGTTGTTGGTTCCTCAAGAAACTTCTTGGCCAGGCTTTCAAGGACAACCAACTTGTCGTGGACCTGTGCACAGATCTTGTAGGTCTTGGCCTCTGCTGTTGGTCCAACTTTCATTGCACCCAGGATGGGTGCAATGTCGGGAAATCCTGGTAGAGAAAGCCGACCCTCCCGGCAACCACTGTACACAGTGTTCCCCAATCGAGTGGCAATGTCACTGCCAGAGTTGTCCAGGGATATTGTAGCACATAGGCATTTCTTCCCATCTACCATATCCTGAGGGAAGGTTTCAGGTTAGTTGGGGCGCGTGCTTGTGGAAGGCAAGAAAATTAGTTGAAGCAAATGAACGTGAGGCACAATAACAAACGAGAGGACGTCCTCCAAACACGCAAGACCCGGAGCCGCATCATACCCAAACATGTCGACCAAAATCGTGGCTTTTGAAGACTGGAAGCTGAAAGACTCCAAAGTACGGTGCACGAACGCGGTTCCACCAGCTGCCTTTGGTTGGTTGGCAAAAACCACTAAGTACAATGAGCCATATTCAATATGAAAAAATTGAGCCATATTCAATAACTCATTCCAAACACATTCACAATGATTCTGAATCACTCAGCGCGGCTTGGCGAAGTTCCTGAACATCCGTGAATGCCCTCCCCAAATGTGGAAGAGGATTCTCTCCCTTCGCTGGCGATGCCTCAAGCATACTTCAAAACACACAGAACAAAAGAAGGAATCGAGAACTTGCATGTCAACCAATTCTGGCCCAACCGCCCCTTAGGACACAAGAAGGAATTGAACGCTACTGGCAAAAACTCAGTCAATTAGCAAACAGGGCCATGGTCGTACAGTCGCTTGTTCATCCCTTATAAAAACCAACCATGCACATTTTGGCAATGCTGCTGCCCACCTGGTTTGGCTTGAACATATCCGATCTGGCAAGCATAGGGACTTGGTGAATGACTCCTGTCTTCCATGCTTTGGTCTGCTTGAAGAAGTTGGAGTTGGAACGTGAAATGATGGCCATCCCGGTGATAGTGCCGTCACGCTTGCCGTATACGGTCTCCTCACGTACGTCATTGGTGCACCAGTCCACCAGCAGTTCAAAAACCTGACTGAAACTAAAGTAACAATAGGAACACCTTCCAAAATGCCTCCCCAGACACTGGTTGAAAGACCCATGTTATGGGCCTCACTCTCAGACCTCGCTCTTTCATTGCAAAGTCACTCCTTAACTGAAGGTGAGGCTAGTTAAACATAACGGTCCAGGAAATGCCGGTGAGTGCAAAAGAAAGACGCAGCAAAGACAGAATTGACATCAATGAAATAATGCCGAATATAAATTAGAACCGTTTAAGTTTAAATGTCTCAAATATTCCAAAGGAGACTCTCCAGTTTGTGCTGCAGGTCCCGAATCAGGAATTCGTCAGCATCAGCATCATCATCTAAATCATCATCGTTGTTTTCATCGGAATCATTATCAGCCTTCATTGACTTCTCCGCCAACGCATCCTCCTCCTTTTTCGGCTTCCTGACAGTCAGATTTGATAATCCCATCAAAATTGCACAACATGGCACGACCACATTTGACTGCCACTGGTTGAAAGAAAATACTGTAGAGAAAACTTAACAACCCCATGAGCCTCATATCCCTGTGCCCTGCCCTGTTTGGGTGAACAACAAAGGCAATGGCATTCTGCGGGTGGTCTGCGATGACATTGGCAACAAAATTGAGAAAGAATGATTTCTGCGTCGCTGAGAATACTCCCACCGTAGGTCCGTTCAGCATCAGCACGATCGAGTGGTCGAATGGAGCTGTCCCCACCTCTGAGGATGCAGATCTAATCCATGACCTGCAGTTGGGGAGGACAGTTGACTCTGCCTCGGCACTCTTCCCTTGGAAAGTGACCAAATTGGTCTCCACAAATTTGGTCACAACCTCCCAAGACCGCTGATGAGCTTCCTCGCGAAAATGTTGTCAAGTCTTGAAACTAAAATGTACTTTTCTTGTTTCCTTGCACCAAATCTGTCCTGGAGTTGCTGCACGAGTTTGCCTCTGCTTTTGCTGTGCTCCTTCTCTGTCCTCAAGTATCTATTTGTCAAAAACTCTAAAACTCAATCATACTCAATCTCTTTCTAGAGGACATCTGACCACGTCAGTATGCAGCAAAGTTTCAGAATCTTGTCGCTTTTGAACTTGATCTGGTCAGTTTGCAGGTCTGAAAGCCATGATGCAAGTCCAGCTTCCCAGGACTTTTGCAGGGCATTGCGTGCACGATCTTGGTGGGCAACCAGGTAGTCGTTGACACACTTGCCCTGAGCCTTTGTCAGATTCCATGCCACTATACGAGCCAGCGTTCACTCACCCAACCAAAAAAGATCAAAACTTTCCCAGGGAACCAAAGTATCGAATCTGCTGCCGCTGTCACTGAACTAACACACCGGCCTCCAAGATGAATGGAATTCTCTTCCAGTCGAAACTGCTTTCGGCGGCTTTGACGACGGTTTGCAGGTCAGCGTCCAAATGCCTGGTCTTTAAATCAAAAATTCAATCAAAAGGGAAACCGGTCCAACTCAAAAATAACATATCCCGGCCGCCAAAAAAAAAATCGAAAAATATACTATTTCACCAAAAATCAATCAAACTCCGGCATCAACATCTTATCTCCCCAAAGTGACGGGGTTTCCAGAAACCCCATCACAATTCAATATGTTTTTAAGAAATCAATCAAACTCCGGAGCCTCAAAACTAGGTTGGGATTGTGATTGATTCTTCCGCGTACTTGAGAAATGTGATGGGGTTTCCAGAAAACCCTTGATTTTCGGAGGTTGGATTTCAATGACCCAAATGTGACGGGTTTTTTTGACTTTCTTTCCCGGGTCCGTCCGCGCACCGGCCAAATCATATTCCAAAATTGCGACGGGATTTCTGGAAATCCCATGAAAAGTTGAACAGGTCATTCGGCGAGCAGCCAAACGCAAGCACGACAAACTAAATCCTAACCAGCCATTAAAAACAAGCTGCCCAGCTTCCCACAAATCCTGGTGCTGGGAGATGATCTCGTGCGAGAAAGTCGTAGACATCTTGTCTTTCAGCCATACCCACAGGCATGCGGAATCATGCAGCAAGATATGGCCATCTTCGTCCAATTGATGCGATTTCTGCAGGGCGAAGTACTTTTAGAAATCAACTTGGGACAACTTTGGAAAACTGTCAATATGCATCCGCTCAAGCCTTAGCCTTCTGTGTTGACTCTTTCGAAGCCCTCCGGGCGAAGTCCTGACAAAGTCAACCATTCATCCCTCAAGTTTGAATCCCTGAATCCACAAGTCCTTGGTGGCACGGTCCACGTAGCAAAGGGCTGTAGCCATGGTCGTGGTGAGGACTTCTTGGAACACATCTTTGCCTTTGTACTTCACGTCTTCCTTTCTGCTCAGCGAACCTGGCACATAGAAATCCATTTGTAGTATCTCGTGAGGAAGACCTGCAGGACCGTTGCAGAAGAGACTTGATGGCAGTAAAAAAACTTCAAACAAGGCAAAGACAATGGTTTTATTGCCTGATGTCTGATGAGGGAACTCATCATAATGGCTGTGCAAACGTGCCAAAATCTCATCATTGCACCGCAGACTCAGGACAATGTGACACAATTTGACTTTGAACATCTTTGAACTGTCATGTTTCAGCCTTGCATCGACCATTGCAACCAAGATGCAGGTTAAAGATCAGGCCTCTCCTACCTGAATCGATGCAGTGCCTGCGAAGCGTCACCATCTTGTTGTACTCTGCACAGACTTTGGACATGGCGTCCCTCAAGGGAATTTTGACACTGGAGAGCCGTTGGTGAATCTTGATGGACTCGGCGATGTTGGCGAGGATGGAGATAGGTGACGGAGATTGCTTCTCCGCAGTGACATACCCGAGTTCTTAGTAAAATCAAAGCTGCATAATATCAAACTCAGAAATATACACATCGATGCTGCACAATGGCAATTTAGAGACAAGTGTCTTAAGCTGTGCAAGAAAAAATGTGCTGGGTTGTCGTAGTGCGTGTAAGCACATCTGATGGCCCTGAACGACGCAAGAGTATCCTGGATGGTCGGATCCATGAGTTGACTTGGTGATAGCTTTTCTTTGCACAGCAAAGTGATCCCGAACATCGTCATGATCTTTGTTTGACCATCGACACAACCCACAGATCCATCCGGAATCTGAAGGCTGCCATCGCGTTCCCGAAAAGGGAACTTGCACATCACTGCATCGAAATGCGACTTGTACCCGCCAACCACGAAGTCGCGGAAGAGCACAGCAAATTGAGTATTCGAGGGATAGTCTGCAACGGGACAGCAATGATCATGTTCTTGAAATTACTACAAACCCTTAGTTGAACCGAGGCACACCCGTTCTTGCTTTTTGGGGTGTGGTCGAAGCTATCCAAACCCAACCAAAACTCATCATTGCTTGAAGTTGGCAGCAAAGTGGTCAAACGCTTCGTTGGTGGAGCTCTGTAGACAATCTCACGCACAGCCTTCTTTTGGACAAAACATTTTGCTTGACAACACAGCAGTGATATGAAAAACCGTACTGATGACAATTTAAGCTGGGCACCTCCACCATATCCAGCTTGGTGGGCCAAGCGTTCATCACATAGTCTCCAAAGTTCCCTGCACTGATCACCTAGAGTACATTGAGTACATCAAGCATCATCAAACCAGCGCAGAAGTCTGGACAGGCACTTCTTGTTTATTCCAAGTCACAGACTCAAACGCAGCGCAAAGGAGATCCACCACACTCTCCCCACTCTCTGCGGGAGCATTGGGGTTGTCCATTTTAAGGTCTTCTTGTTTTGCATCCATCATTGCTCTCACTCAGAATCTTGAGAGCCAAGAAACTTCAAAATTGGCATGAATGAGTTGGATCAAAGCTTAGTTTGTACATCATGTTTGAATATTTTTGAAGTTACAAAAATATCCTACAAGGCAACCTTTTCTTGGCGCACCCCAATCCATCAATCCTGAAAGATTACCCTCTGCGGAAAGCAACTTGGAGACAATGGGGCCGTGGTTCAGGCTCCCGGGCCCCCAACTCAAATTCGTGCAAATTGGGAGAAATGGCTGGCGCATTCCTCAAAAAGCTCAAATCTGGCACTGTGCCGGCAACTGGAGATTCTTCCAGCATGGTGCCATACCATGCAACTGCTCGTCGCAAATGCGGAAAGTCTCGCTCAATCCCCTTTGAGATCAACGACAGTTCTTGGCGGCGTTCGGATTCAAGCTGCCACGTCAATTTCGGGCTGCTGTTTTTGCTGGCATCGGACACGAACTGCTCTGCGATTGAACTCAAGGACCCTGGCATGCAAAGCAAAGGATCCTGACACAGTGCTGTAGATGACATCCTTTGTTTTACAAGGCTGAAGATGTCTCGCGAAGTTTGAGAGGGGTCCCGCAATGCACGCGGAACTCTTTCACTTTTGGGAATTCCTTCACCTCCACTGGGCATATCCTGCCTGGCCAAGAATGTGAAATCATGAGGGACAGGAGTTATGTCTTTCCCTTCCTCTTGCTTCCGGATCTTGAAGCAGTTTTTAAAGGTCACATGGTCTGGAGCGATGCTTGCCCAATCACGAACCTTGAAACCATCAACACGTTCAATTCAGTGTTCATGACTTAAATACAATTGATCATTCGGTCGAGCAACTGTTGACATCAGCTCTACATCAAAGTCCCAGCCACGCTTGGTAAATACTGGTGACAGAGAATGAAGCAACCGACGCCGGATGTCCGAAGGCGTTTGTATATCATTGGCGCTTGCCAGGCTTGCCGCTGCCAGGCTGAACCTTTGCAGCTCGAAAACCACTGGATGCAATCACCAAAACAAAACGCTGCCAAACAAAAGTCAAGATACACTCCATCGACATCCTCATGCGTGTGGCCTGGCACCATGTGGTGCAGGCCAACCTGTCGGAATACATTTGCTTGAACAAGTGCTCCTCCGATTCGATGGCTGTACTGGTTTCGCAGCTCTTTGACTGTGTTGTCCGACTGTAGGAACAGCCTCAGCTTAACAAAAATATCCCACATTTGCCACACTCCCCCCCAGACATATACCTCAGGCAAAGAAACTCCCGTGGGAATGGTTTGCTGGATGCCCTGCATCGGATCCACACCTTCTCCAAGCTTCGCATCACCTGGCACTTCAAGCAAGGTGAGCCCCCTCTCTTAATTCCGCCAAATGCAACTTAGTCACGCATTCCCAATTCCATGAGCTTCCACCAGATATCCCCTCTTGAGTGGAGAGGTATAGCCAACAGCCCCACCCATGACAGATCACCGCCGTGAGGATCAAATGTGCACCTTGCCCAATGCGAAAAAACAATCATCATTGGTTTGCAAAATGGTTTGCAGCATTTCTCTGTGCCAAGTAACGAAGAAATCTTTCGAAAACAGCACGCTTGGGGCATCGCTTTAGGGGCCACTGAGGAAGAGCAACTTTTGATTTGTCAAATGAATCGCAAATGCAGGTGATGATGTCTCTATGGACCTGGGCCCGGTCACGGGCGGCCCAGTACACTCTTCTGTCCAAATATGTACTGTGATAATGACTTAACAGCTGGTCGCATAGCTTCGCATGGCGACCAAACTCCTAAGAAGGCATTTGTCAGGCATGGAACAGACAAAATGTCAACTTGAAATGGTTGAAGGCCAAATGAGATTGAGGCGAGGACTGTTGCCTGTTGTATCTTGGTCTTCAATGATTGGCATTCGACGCACATCGTGTGGTCGCTGGCTTTTCTGAACACAAGGCACTCTTTCCATCTTTTGGCAGTGGTGTAGAATGTACTTCTTGAAGCTGACTGTACATCAGCGGCCCGATTGCAAGCAACGAACATCAAATACAATGATGATACCGAACCTGGTGGTAGCTCGCGCCGCGGCAGAGTTGTTGGGTCCAAATCCATAAGTTGTTGAGAGGGGCCAAATAACTGCCGGTCGATTAGCTTTCGGATTAGTTCTTCCCGAAGTTCTTCATCCGTTTTTGATCTCTCAGCGGTAGACGAAGTCTCGAACCTCAAGTCAAGAGATCCCAAAAAAACACTTGAGCGCATGGAGACAAAGAAACTTGACATTGGCAAAGGAGCTTGGTTGGCATCGATTCACCAGCAGTAGCATACAAATGGGAAAAGAAGGAATTGCAGGCCGATGTTTGCGTTGCGTAATGAGATGTCGCTCCTCAGACAGCTAAAATAGATTCTTCCGATATTGCAGTCAATTAATTGGTTTGAGTGTAACATCTTATTGTTGCCAAGAGGCCCTGATTCAATTTTCGTTCATCCAATCCTTTGAACCGCCGTTTTGTACGGAGAATGCGTTCCTTTCCGATTCCCATATACTTCACCCATGCCTCCCGGCACACCTGGTGTCCTCTCAGGGTAAACGGTCAAACATGTTCAAACAGAATAAAGTGCATGGGACCATTTAGAGCCCTTGTCCGTTAATGTGCCAAGTGCTGCCAGGTTTGGCTTTACTTTGGATGCTCCACAGAACAGCGTCTTGGCATTCTTTGCCAAGGGTCCAGAAAGAATGACAAACCTTTTTCAAGGCATCGTATGGCACATAGCACTTGCACTCGCATGGAGGGTTACTCACCAGAGATTTGATGCGCTTCACATTCATTCCATTGGCAGCAAACATTGAGTTGGATGGCTCTTCTCCCAAGGTATGGAGACTTTGAAGATGTCCCAAATCCAATGAAATCGATGAGGTGCACTGGCCAGGATTCTCTGATTCTGAAGATTCAGACTCCTCAGACTCTTCATTCCTTACTTCGTAGCCACATGACCGAACATATAAAACTATTTGTTAGAAGGTAGAGCCATGAAGTGCAATTTGGATTCTCCGAAGAACCTGAATCTGATGATGTCTCATCATAACGCCCTAGAGCTGCTGCCTTTCTTGCAGGCTGCAACTTGTCCGCTTCATCATCGTAGCGGCCAAGGACTCCCATCGCTCCGGGGCGGTGGCACTTTAAGTGTAAGTTCCCTGTTTCAACTCTTTTGGTATTAGGTTCTCTTTTGGTATGAGGACAAAATTGACCAAGTTTGTTGGGATTTAGATTAGTCAACCACAACCGTTTCAAACTATACAGACTCTGTGTAGAAAAGCCGGCAAGACACGATTCGGGTGTTTGAGTGCTTTGCAAGTCAGCGTCAGTGTATGCAACACCTCAAAAACTGCAAAGAGTCCATTTCCAGCCCGATGCGTAAGGCTTACTTCAGATACTTCTGTGCCAGCACGGGGTTCATTGCCCTCAGTGCAACAGTAATTGCAACCAAGATGGCCCTCATCGCCATTCCATTGCCTGCCAATTTTGACAGGGCCTCGGTTAGAGTTAGAAAGATGCATATAAGTAAACCTCATATTGTAGTAGTGTCCGAGTACTGCACATTTGGTTCAGACAAAGAGCGCGGTTCGAGAATCCTTCCCAACGAATAGTATCAATAGGCAGCCCCATCAAGAGAAGCATCTCCACGCCTAGATGACTGTTTCTTTTTGGGTGGTTTGAATGCATAAAGTTCGTCGAGAACTGGTGTGTGAAATGCAGCCCAGATTCCGGTCAAGAACCTGTGCTGCGACTTGCATGTCAATAAGTATTGACCTCCTGGCCTTGGTTTTTCTTTCAAAAACAATAAAAGGGATGTTCAAGCCGCTGCTCAAGACATCACAAGACTGTGTTTCGGACGTCAAGCACATGAAAGGAGTGTCATCATACATAGGATTCATCCTGGGGAGGCTTTGTGAAGTGTTCACGGCCAAGAACCCTGGTCGGTGGGTGCAAAGGATATCCAGAGCCTAGCCGGGGACATCCAGTAAATCATTCAGTGTGAAAAAGACCGACTAATTTGTCCCACCTCAAGCTCCCTTCGAGATGTGATTTGCTTTGCTGCTGCAGGATACTTCTTGGTGAAGGCATTCTTGCACTTGAAGACCTTGTGCGTAGCTGCCCATTTCGCATGGAGCTTTGGCCACTTTGCAGTTCCTTTTGGCCTTAGCATGAAAGGTGCAGGCAAGATTTCAAGATGAGAGGGTTTCAGTTTGTGCAGCCAAACAACTTCTTGGCCATAGCCTTGTTCCGAAGTGATCGATTGACCATTTCTTTTTTGACCACCCAATGGTCTCGAGGAAGGAGCAAGTCTTGCCTTATATAGATGTGCCACCGCTAGACAGCTGCTTACGGAAGAAGTTCGACTTTGCTTTTTGCAAACAGGCCACCACCCAACATCAGATTCCATGGAAAGATTGTTGCAGATTTCAGTAGCAAATCTGTCAAAGTCATCATTGGGTTTCTTGAGGGACAAACTTCTCAGCACCAAGACAATGTAGATCCGGTCCCGCGAAATCGGACTGCCATAATTGCTCCTTGAAAAAGCTAGGAGGGTGAAGCATTGATTTCAACCAGAAATCCGTCGCATTTATTCATCCAGGATACGGATCCACATCTACCACACATATGTTGTACCTTGCTCAAGGAATAGTGATAGCTGCACATCTTTAAGTCCAATAGTACTTACTTCCAATAGTCATTATGCAAATCAACCTGCAAACGAGCATCTCTGGCAGTTTTTCTTTGAGTTCATCTAAAATGACATCCAGCACTTTCAAGATTCCTCGAACATTTTCGAGTATAGCAGCCTCAGTAGGTCAATTAACTGTAGCTTGGATCTTGGAGGAGAGCTGCACTTGGAGAAAATTTGGCAAGTTGCGCATGGCTTGCAGGCAGAAATGTTCTCGACCACTGCAAAGAATTGCTTGGAATTGGGATCGTCCAAACACTTCCGCTGCCCCAACATCGAAAATGGCGTGCACGGAAAGCCTGCGGTGTACAATGCCACCTCAGGGTCTGATCAGTTAAGGGTTTGATACAGTTTGAAACACGTTTGATCAGTGTTGACCTTTGCTTGTGGTAAGGGCCTTCTTCTTGAACAGGGACATGTCGTTTTTGAGGACATCGGAGCTTTCCCTTGGCGTGGAATCGGAAGTAAAATACTTAAAACTCACTGCGGGTTGTGTAGCCCTTCATTAGTCCCTTCATTAAGCCAAGCTGCTGCTTGGGCTTTGGGAAGTTGAGCTTCAAGAAAGCACGGGCCGTTTTGTCAATCTCGGAGTTCGACCTTTGTCAAAATTAGCTGTCCATGGTTGGTGAGCCGATTGAGTTTCAGTCAAGATGCAGGTAGGATATCTCCAAGCGGTTCTGAAACAACATCTTCAGGGCTTGCAAAGGTGTGTCCAACCCACTACCTTAATGGGTTTGCTGTTTTTGCAAGCCACAACTCAACAGGTTTGAAACAAGTTGAACCTCAGCCAAGATGCAATCACTTGCGTAGGGAAAATCCCGCTTCCATTGGCGCAAGAACCAATCCAGGGCCCCCTTCTCCAGGAAATGGCCCGCGCAGTGCATAAAAGTGGACTGCTCAACTGTCAACTCCTAACAGGCTGTGCTAAGCCTCCGCCCGGACTCCACCCTCCCAAAAATATATACTGAACCATACTGAACCCGTGTGTGATGCACTGTCCTCCACCATTTTGAATGCCTCATCATCTGAGGAAACGTCCCGCCACACCCCCATGGCGATTACAGCCAGCCCCTCTCAGCCGGTCTGATCTGCGGGACATGAGCGGTATCTTAAATGGCAAGACCTGGATTCATATTGTACAAGACCTGGTTGCAGTCGGACAAGATTCTAGCCTTGTGACGGTACACATCTTGGACATTCTTGGAATCTATCTTTGCCTGTTGACAATGTTGACACTCGAGACTCGAGACAGTGTATGTCCAAGGTTGTTTTGCATATGGTTTGCCATGCTAGCTGGACATTCCATTTCATTTTTGCTAAGTTTCCCTTCTTTTTCTTCGATGGGAAACAATTATGGGTTCAGACCGATACCAAAAACGATACCAAACGATACCCACTTCATAGGTCTGTATCCCCTCAGACACCACCTGCCCACTCACATGCCACTACTACTGCCACTACTTCTATTTCTGCTACCACTACCACTACCACTACCACTACTACTACTACTACTACTACTACTACTACTACTACTACTACTACTACTA